AGCGCTTTCTTTATATAATTGAAAGTTAGATAACATCGTGCTGAAACAAGGAGAGATAACTGCGCCAAAAAATTGCGCTTCCAAGATAAAAGCATCTTATTCGCATACAGGCGAGATAGATGCCATATTATGTACAATTTTAAAATCGCACCCATTCAATAAAACAATCCAAGAAAAAGGCGCAAAGATAATTTACCTGTGACATTTGGCGCGAAATGATTGTGTCACCCCTTTCGTAGAAGACAAATGGACTGATCCAGTAGTTTAGAAACGCAGAAAAAATGTTTCATGGACATGTCCGTATAAAGAATCACAAAGAATAAACAGGTGCATGCAAAAAAACTGAAGGAAGTAAACATATTATTTTGCATCAGTAATATGATTCTTTCTTCTGCAAACTGTATTTAAATGCAGGTAACAGTATGATCGCTTAGTTTCGGACCATGGAAATTTTGATCTATACTGCCTGACCCACGTGGCGTCAGGCAATAAGGATATTATATATATATATATATATATGTATGAAAAATATTTAAACATATAAAAACAATGAGAACGAGTAAAACATAAGCGCTTCATTTCTTCTTCATGAATTTTTACAATATTGATTACTTGATATCAATTACGATATTGTAAAACATCATGAAGAAGAAATGAAAGCGCTTATGTTTCACTCGTTCTCTGTGTTTTTATATGTTTGAGTATTTTTCATATTTATCACCGACCACTGTGATTTTTCTTTTATATATATATATATATATATATATATATATATATATATATATATATATATATATATATATATATATATAAAGCACTATAAAAACCAACAACACTGTATATCCTAAGTGTCCAGATTAATGTCACGCCTAACATAGGGCCAATCTCCAAACGCTTTCAAGAACGTTGGGAAGATATTACAAAGAGGTGTTCTAAACAATTGATGTCACTCTGTCTTTCTTGGGATATCCACAAGTTAGGACAATTTGAGAGTGATATCACGTCCTTAGAATCATCCCTCGCTGATAGCATGTCCCAAGCTGATCTTGATGAAGCCCATAATATTATTGACACCTATAATATGGCCCTAAGAAATGAACTCAATAAGACTCAAAGAAAGAAATTTCTCCGAGACAGTGTTCCGCAGACCAAGAACAACCGGTCAGAGGTCGAGTTAACAAAACACGTAAACCCCGCTCGAGACGCTTCAAGCGCTTAACGACAATCGCGAGGGACGGACCCTCACAAACTCCTGACGTCTGCCCAGTGCTCAATAAAACTAGTATTCCTCTCTCCGAATTGGAGACCTCACTTCTTTCCAAGGGGCTGAATTTCTGTCCCACGCCACATGAGGTCGACGAAAAACAAGTCAGAGAGGACACCCGAGCATTCTTTCGGAGACTTTGGTTGAAGGAGCACTTTTCTAGAAAAGACTCCGAAGTTGACTCATATTACTCTTCTCAGCCACAGTTGCACGACTTAGAGGAACACAAACTCTATCGGCCCAAAAGTGACTGGGAACCTGCACCGGGAAAATGCGGAGCCCTTGAGTCGTATATTGACGCCGTTGAGTCAGACATAGAGAAACTCCTTTCAATGCCAGACAAGGCTCCCGACAATTTGAGTAAGGAAGAGAGATCCGCCTTACAATCATTAAAGAATCGGGATGACATTGTAATCAAGAAAACAGACAAAGGCTCTACAGTTGTAGTGCTTGATAGAGAGACGTACATGGCGGAGGCCCATAGACAACTCTCAGACGAACGTTTCTATAAGAAACTGGACTCTGACCCTACTAAAGAATTCTCCACCGCCATCACCAAAACTCTTGACGAAATGTTTGAGAAAAACGAGATTGGTATCAACGTCTATGAGACATTCAATCCTAATGACTGTAGACCAGGACAATTTTATCTGCTTCCTAAGATACACAAAGAAGGTATGCCAGGTCGCCCTATAGTTAGCGCAACTGGACACCCCACGGAGAAAATTTCTGAATACATTGATCTACATCTCCGTCCACACGTAGAGAATTTGCCATCCTAACTCAAGGACACCACGGACTACATTAACAAGAAGCCCTCTACTGGCCTTCCAGATCATACCTTTCTCGTGACTATGGACGTCACATCTTTGTACACCAATATTCTGATGAGGGTATCGAAGCCTGTAGAGAAGTCTGGGATAGTAGATCCATACAAATTCCTTCTACCAAGTCCCTTGCCAAGCTCCTTGAACATGTTCTCAAATATAACAACTTCATGTTTAATGGAGAACATTACCTGCAGGTTAATGGCACTGCTATGAGTACGAAAATGGCACCATCTTATGCCAATATTTTCATGGGCAGACTGGAACGCAACTTGCTACTTCAAGCACCATTTAGGCCCCTTAGCTGGTTGCGTTTCATTGACGATATAGAGATGAAGTGGGTGGAATGTCGCGAGAGCCTCGAGGCATTCATTTCATTTGCCAACACCTTTCATCAGTCTATCAAATTTACAGTAGACGTATCTAATTCGAAAAACATATTCCTAGATACTACATCTACCCTGCCTGATGGTGAAATCGAGTTCAGTCTCCACACGAAACCCACAGATTCCCATTTGTATCTTATTCCAACTAGCTGCCATCCCCCACACACATTTAAGGGTCTAGCCACCAGAATTCGGCGCATCTGTTCATTCCCTGCCTTATATCAGGAACAAAGCGGTCTCCTCAAGTCCCACTTATGCAAGAGAGGCTACAATGCCCGCACCGTACAAACTGCTATTGATGAGATGGCGGGACATGACGGGCAAAACCTATTACGCTACAAGGAAAAAGACAATAGCGGCAGGGTCCCTCTGGTAGCCACATACCATCCCGTCCTTAAAAACCTCAGCGGTATCCTTCAAAAGAATCTGCCAATTCTCCACTCAAATAAACGAATGGCAGAGGTCTTTAAGGAGCCCCCATTGGCTGCATACAGACGCCCGAGGAATCTAAAGGACATGGTAGTAAGAACCAGATTGGACAATCCATTACCTAACGGGGGCTTTAAAACTTGCTCTGACAGAAGATGTCTTCTCTGTAAGCACAGCTCTGACACAAACAGCTTTAACAGCCCCGTTACAGGCCGCAGCTACAAAATACTAGGGAATTTGTCCTGTCAAACAGACAACTGCATTTATCTCATCAGTTGCAAAGTTTGCTCCAAACAGTATGTTGGTGAAACAGGAGATCTCCGCAGGAGAGTCAATAATCATCGTTCTACCATTAGGACCAAAAAACTCAATGAACCCGTTGGGGAACATTTCAACCTTGAAGGTCACAAATGGGAGGACATGACAGTAGTGGTTATTGACCATAATCCAAGATGGACAGACGCTCAGAGAAAAAGCAAGGAAAAGTTCTGGATGCACAGGCTGAAGTCATTCCGCCCTAATGGTATTAACAAACTTAATGACTTCACCAGGATGAACGTGAACTAGACACAATCCCGGATTGTAACAAACAAGTTCATTCTCTCTATATGGTGTAAACTTTACCGTTAATTCGCATTAGCAATTCTGGAACAACCTACCCAGATATTTACAGCTTACATTTTTGTGTATTTCTTTTATCCGATTTCCAAATTTATAATATATCCAAATTCATATTTTTAAAATTGCCCTTCCATATTATCTTTCTTTAATTTCTTTTTATCATGTATAGTTACGCTATTTTGAGAGAATAAGACAATGTACGATTTACTGCTTGTCGTAATTAATTAGTGATAATTAATTCGTTCAATTATGTAAATCGCACTTCACCAGAGTTCACTCGATAGACCGGACGCAATTCATAACGCTCCGGATTTCTTTGTTCACGACTGTTTATTAACTTAAAATTAAACATGTAAAACTGTAAATATTTAGTGTTTGGTAGTTTAGTAGTAGTGCTAGTTGTTTTTGTTTCTCTATTTCCTTTGTTTTTATGACTTCTTAACTTTTTCTTTGTCCCGAGGAAGTGGCAGGTCGTCCCGAAAATTTGACAATTATTATTGTTCGTGTCGTTGGTCTTTTTGAGTGCTTTGTATATATATATATATATATATATATATATATATATATATATATATATATATATATATATATATATATATATATATATATATACACTGTCTGTGGATATTTTTTCGATCGATCGCTGTTCGTTATCTTCACCTTTTTCCTTGTTGAATATAGATGGTATCGGCGAAATATAGATGGTATGCGACACGTTCCAGGAAGATGTGTCTTTAGCATCGTTTCAAGCCACGGTCTTGAGTCCGCATATAGCTCTCTCTCTTGCCAGTGGCTGCTTGTCGTAATCTTCAGTATTAACGCCTTTTTGTTGTGACGTCATGTTCAGCCAATGACAATATTTGTTTCCATCGCAATTGAAATCAACAAATGACATCAACAGTATACAAGAAATATTTCGTATACTGCGATTGAGATTGAAAAGGTCGCGCCAAAGTTCATCATCCGACTATGTTTTACTCGCACTGGTCAATATTTTAATGAACTGCGAAATATTCTTTTCTCATTCAACCACGGCCAGAATGGGAGAGGATCGTACATTTTGGCCATGGTTTGCGAAGATGTGTCTTTGGATGCGAAATGTTTTCTTACTGTACATTTTGAGCGGATTTTAAGGAAACATCATGCCTTTTTAAAATTATAACTTTAATCCAGCTAATCAGGAGATTAAAAAAAATGATCCTTATATGCATTTATCCTCATTGCATTTCTGCTCTCGTCCGTTGATACACCTTTGATTACTTTCTGTAGTTTTTGTATCTCTGCTGTCGTGTACATCTCCATTTCTTGTTTACAATGGATACCGGACTAAAATTCAAAAACTGTTACTTGTGATTAATTGGACAGAATCCAGTTTCCAAAGTTAATTTCTGAAACTTATTTAATACACTGTTTTTCCTAACATGAACTTCATTTATTGCAATCTTCCTACCTATGCAACATTTTATCTTACAGATGGTCCCAGCCTGGAAAATACAAGAACTAATTTCTCAAGTATAATGCATTATAAGGAGTCAAATTCATCTACATTTCCCAGTATAATGTGTCACTCTATATGCAATCCTGTGTGTCACCTTACCTGGAATGGTCCACGTTCTTCTTCATCAGCTGTGCTCAACCTCGGTCTGATTAAAAGGGATAAAAATGGGACATACATCTGTACAGCAAGAAATATAGTGAACTCTTCCCCTAGATCTGCGTCAATAACTATACACATTATTGTACTTTGTAAGTCTTTTGTCATTTTGGGCATCTACTTCTTTAAAATGTTGCATATAAAAAAATTATAAATGTATATAATAAATCATATATTGGAAGCCACAAAGAAAATGTTTCTATTGTTTTATTATAGGAAATTGTAATTGACAGATATGGGCATTTCAATTTATCATCCTAAGTGAAATATATTTGTAGGTTTGTTATCAAATTACTGCTAATTTTTATTTTACATGATAAAGATATGTACAAATGAATAAGAAACTTACAGATTATTCAGATTAATCATACCAATGTTCTTTTTTAATTTAGATCCACCAAATATCAATATCACCATAAGTTATGGTATAAACACTGTTAATGAAGGAGAAAGGGTACAGATAATGTGTACTGTTGATAGTCAACCCTATTCCAACGTAACGTGGCATCGTAAGGGAGAACGTCTCGGACACCAGGACATTAGTATGGCATATAGTCAACTAGTCATCAGTTCTGCCCATTGTTATGACACAGGGAATTTCAGTTGTCATGCTGAAAATGGAATAGGGATTCCAGCAACAAAGAGCACACCACTAAAAGTCAAATGTAGGGAATTTACTTTGTTTTTCTTATCATGGTACCGGTTTTACTTTTCTTGATAAAACATGACAATTTGCATTTCTTTATGAATGAACATATCAGTGTGATGAACAACTAATTAATGAACATCCGGACAGTATTGGCAGTGCCCGCAAAAATCATAATAATAAAACAATACCGTATTAAAAAATCTCAGATCTGAAACAAATACATATATTCACTTATAGCAAAAGAAAGTTACTTTCGTCCAAAGAGGTACATAAATTATTCTTTATTTGCTTAAAAACGTATTATCACAATTTTATAACGTTTATACACAGACAAATTCCCATGGTATGGCACTTCTGTACATGATAAATAGGGCAAATATGTATGCAACAAAAAATGGTATAGTTTGACGCTTACGTACATGATATGTAGCACATACACTATAGACAGATTATAAATTATAGATAGATAAATTAACAGATAAGATACACGACGAATGGATTCATAACATTTTTTTTTTCATTTCTTAACTTACATTTATATTAACTAAGCTTAAATTAAGCTAAGAAAAGTTTAAGCTCTAAATAGTTGTACTATTTAAATGCGGATGGTTTTTCCAGCATTAGCTTTTGTGATCGTGAGGCCCGGGTTCGATTCTCGTTCGCCGCGCTGCATCAAACCTAAGACGAGGTAGTGATTGTTCCTTTGCCGGTGTAAAGACGAATAATGACCCCCGTAGAAAAAAGACCGGGGGTCATTTTTCGCCGTTCAAAAATGACCTCCCAGCCGTAGAAAATTGTACTTTGTAATTGTAAGAACCTTAGGGGTCAATTTTCTACATGTGCAACCTATAAAAAATTTACCCCTGTTGAATAATGACCCCCTTCCAACAGAGTGATACAAAGTTTAAAAGAGGTGATTGATGACAAGGTTTGGTTCTCAACGTTTAATTCTCCTGTACTTTTCTGAAGAACACTGAAAGAAAATGCAATTAAAATGTAATTTTAAATAGCATGTGTTTAGATCTATTATACCTTTTCGGATATTTTACAAGAGAAAGACACTAATGGCAAACTAACAAAAAAAAAAAAACTAATAGATGACAAACGTGACTTCAACTTTTCCATCGTCAACATCCATTATTTATGTAGCAATATACCATTATCGCCTGTATATGAAATTTATGTCTCCCAAACGATTCGATACGCGATTGCATGTTCTACTTACGAACAATTTCTAAAACGAGGCAAGCTATTGACAAATAAGTTGATAATACATGGATATCAACAGTCTCGTTTTGTCAGCATTTCACTAATTTTATTGTCGATACAATGACCTACACTTTATCGTTAAATCGAATGTTGAATGACGTTTTTCATTCAAATTGTTAGGCCATTATTTTCACACTGAATTGTCTACGGATTTTTCAGTTTGCCCGATCATGACAAGGAGTAACAGCTGGTGTGACCGGTCGACAGGGGATGCTTACCCCTCTATGGCCCTGATGTTTTTTTATATAGGTCCGTGTTTGCTTTTCTGCAATGTATTGTTCCAATGGACTTTTGAGCTTGATTACTGGTCGTTATCTTCATATTTCACCTATTGGGTTTTCATCACACAATAAAAATCGCACAATAGGTACGTCACAGTGGCTATTGGTTAAGACTGTTATCTTAATCTTTCTTTTTTATCCATTTCGTATTTGGATACTTTATTATTTATAGACACTTATTGCCAACTGACAACTAAACTATTTACAAACGGGATGACTTTCGAATCGGCCACTTCTTATATGTATTTATGTAGTAAAATTCTTCTAATATCATCTGCATGTGGTGTGTAAGTCTCCTAACATATTCGGTACGCATGCTCTGTATACGATCAAATTTTAAACAGGCAGGATACTGACAAATGAAATGATGTATCAGGGCTTTCAACAGTCTCAAACAAAGTAAGTATTCTAAAAATCCCTGGGTCATTTTAATGACCTTGTAGGCATATTCATTTATTTTCCATCTTTTAAATTTTGTAAGGTTATACACTTTATAATTTTAGAATCTTAATAACTTTAACAAAGAAGAAGGTATGGTTTTAGCTTTATTGTGCCCTAAAAATTCAATGTTTTCAAAAAGTTTTGAAACTGGCTAAAATATTAGTTGAGTACATGACTGTAATAAATCATGAAAGAATATAGCATGATGGAGTACCATTCTGGATATATGACGTCATTAATTTTATGCATTTCTCTATTTTAAAGAGAAAAAGCCTCAAAATGACCCATTTCAAGGGTTATTTTCCTTAAGAAAATAGTGTCCACAGCCGTCGCCCACGTTAATTTTTAGATATGTTGTGTAAAATTCTTTGAAAAATCACATATCTCAAAATCTTTGTGGGCGATGCCTGTGGACAATATTATCTGAAAGAAAATTCCATTGAAAATTGGTGTCTTCTGCAACTTTTTAAGAAAATACGGGAAAATGCACAAGTTTATGACGTCACAATTAGCATTTAGAAGGTCATGTGAGAAAAAAGATTTGTATGATCTTTCTGCATGGAATTTCAATAATTCAAAAAGCATGAGTTTTAATTTTTTACATCACTTTTATTTTTAAGAAAAACACAGGGCAAGATTTGTATTGAAAGCGTACCTTGTACAAAAATCCATGAAGGTAATATTTTTATAAATACGGAATATAATACAATAGTATGGTGCAATTGAAGCCGAGAAAAAAAAATAATTGTTTGGATGAAAATGTTTTGACAAGTAAGGTAATAGTTCTGACAAGTTTGTTCTTCGTTCGGATGAACAAGATATTTGGGTGAACAAATAAGTTCTTCCTTCGGACAAATTAAATACACTTAGAAGAAAGTAGATAAAATTGTTTTTGAATTGTTCAGACGAACTGGGTATTTGCTTGGACAACTTAGCGAATTATATATTTGTTCGAACAGATTTGATGTTTGTTTGTTTTTTTTAATTTACTTACCTTGTCATTGGTCATTTGCAAAATTATTTTGTTAAAAACATTTTGATTGTACGTTTAAGTACCCAGAAGTTGATATTAAAAAGATGCTTGAGTTTCTGATTGACAATATCTATGTAGTTTTTGGAGATCAGGTCTTCCAACAATTTGTCAGAATTTCCATGGGTACCAATTGCGCCCCGTTATTAGCAGACCTATTTTCGTATTCATATGAAGAATAATTATTCAAAAACTTATACATGAAAAAAAGAAAACACTCGCTGTGGTCTTCAACTCGACATCTAGATATATCGACGACGTATTATCAGTTAATAATGCATATAGTTACCTCCATTCATATGTGACTCGATATATATCCAAGTGTACTTGAAATAAAAGATATCACAGAGTCTGACACATCTGTTTCATATTTGGATATTTTACTAGAAAAAGACGTTAATGTAATCTTACTACAAAACTTTTTAATAAACGTGATGACTTCAATTTTTCTATTGTCAACTTCCCTTTTTGTGTAGCAATATACCCTTGCAACATATGTTGCAACCACTATTGAAATAACGACCACTATTGAAATAATTATTTCAATAGTGGTTGAGAATGCATTTCAAAACCAAACACAGCTTGTAACCACTATTGAAGTAATGTTCACTATTGAAACAATTATTTCAATAGTGGTTAAGAGTGGTTAAGAGAGCATTTCAAAGCCTAAACTAAGTTGTCATCACTATTGAAATAACGGTCACTACTGAAATAATTATTTCAATAGCGGTTTTTATACGTGTAACCACTATTGAAATAACGACCTCTGATGTTATAATACTTAGTTTTCCCAAATAGTTGATTTTAATGTATTGTCAAGAAACGTTTGATTTACTATCCATATTGGTAGTGTGGGCAAGCCCAAGAATATAAGCGAAAATTTACTTCTATTCTATATCCTTTTCATTAAAATTAATCTTTTTTTTCATCAGAAAGTTTGTATACATATTAGATATCAATAGATGTCTTCTTTCTTCTTTTTAATGTAGATATTCTAATTTATTATATACCCAAGTGTGTATCACTCAATTTTACTGTAGATTTCGTACAATCACGTGAAGGTGTGATCCGACTTTCCGGATCACCACACTGTGGTTTTCTGAATCCATATCACCCCTCTCTGAAAGTAATGACGTAGTGCACAGAAACATGACGTTATTTTTCATGCGCATCAAGAAGTTCCTTGACAAAATGCTTTGTTTAATGGAAAAATTCTTATATAATTGATCTCAAAAGTTTTTTAAAACTATATTTTGCTAGTTGTAAGTGGGGTATATAATAAATTTATCATTATAACAGTAACTTGATCCGAAGAGCCGTATCACGTCTCGTTGACAGGCGCGGATCATCAGATCAAACTCGACGCTTCGCGTCTCGTTTGATCTGATGATCCGCGCCTGTCAACTCGACGTGATACGACTCTTCGGATCAAGTTACTGTTATAATAATGTATATTTCTACAACTATCCGTATTTTATAATCTTTTACTTTCCCCAATTAATAATAAAGATGAAAATTATATAACAAAATTACTTAAAATTACTAGATCAGTTAAATCTCAGTATCCGTGTATTAATAGTATTTCTGGACAGAAATTAAAACATGAAATTACATATCATATTTAAACTCAATAAATTAATTTTATTATGTTGGAAAACATAATGAAGAATTTCTCCTTATATTTTTTCCAATATTGGGGTTATTTCAATGAGGCTTGCAATTTGGTTTTTATATTGAAATCATTGTCAGCAACTATTGAAATAATGATTCCAATCACTATTGAAATCATTATTTCAATCACTATTGAAATCTTTATTTCAATAGTGAACATTATTTCATTAGTGGTTGCAACCTGGTTTAGAGTTTGAAATGCATTCAAAAACCTTTATCTAAATCATTGTTTCAATAGTGAACATTATTTCATTAGTGGTTGCAACCCGTGTTTGCCTCTGAAATGCACTTTCAACCACTATTGAAATAGTCATTTCAATAGTGAACGTTATTTCAATAGTGGTTGCAACCTATGTTGGGTTTTGAAATGCACTCTCAATCACTATTGAAATAATTATTTCAATAGTGAACGTTATTTCAATAGTGGTTGCAACCTATGTTTGGTTTTGAAATGCACTCTCAACCACTATTGAAATAATTATTTCAATAGTGGCCGTTATTTCAATAGTGGTTACAAGCTGTGTTTGGTTTTGAAATGCACTCTTAACCACTATTGAAATAATTATTTCAATAGTGAACATTATTTCAATAGTGGTTACAAGCTGTGTTTGGTTTTGAAATGCATTCTCAACCACTATTGAAATAATTATTTCAATAGTGGTCGTTATTTCAATAGTGGTTGCAACATACCCTTATCATCTTTATATGGGGTTTATGTCTCCCAGTTGATTCGATACGCAAGAGCATGTTCTACGTATGAACAATTCCAAAAACGAGGCAAGCTACTGAAAAACAAGTTGATGAAACAAGGATATCAACAGTCTCGTTTGAAGTCATCGTTTTGCAAGTTCTATTGTCGATACAGTGACCTTATCAGCAATCAGCAATCTTTCATTAAGTCGAATGCTGACTGACATTTTTCATACCAATTGTCCATTATTTACACACTGAATTGTCTACGGATTTTTCACTTTGCCCAATCATGACAAGGAGCAAACGG